ATTACACATAAAAGGTCATACACTTGGTAACTATACGACATAAAAGGTCATACTTGGTAACTATACGACATAAAAGGTCATACAATTGGTAACTATTACACATAAAAGGTTATACACTTGGTAACTATACTGCATAAAAGGTCATACACTTGGTAACCATATGACATAAAAAGTCATACACTTGGTAATTATAAGAAATAAAAGGTCATACACTTGGTAACTATTACACATAAAAGGTCATACACTTGGTAACTATACGACATAAAAGGTCATACACTTGGTAACTTTATGACACAAAAGGTCATACACTTGGTAACTATACGACATAAAAGGTCATACAATTGGTAACTATACGACATAAAAGGTCATACAATTGGTAACTATTACACATGAAATCTTATACACTTGCTAACTATACGACATAAAAGGTCATACACTTGGTGACTTTACGATGTAAAAGGTCATACACTTGGTAACTATACGACATGAAAGGTCATACACTGGGTAACTTTACGACATAAAAGGTCATACTTGGTAACTATAAGACATAATAGGTCATACACTTGGTAACTATACGACATGAAAGGTCATACACTTGGTAACTTTACGACATAAAAGGTCATACACTTGGTCACTTTATGACATAAAGGTCATACACTTGGTAACTATACGACATATATGGTCATATTTGGTAACTATAAGACATAAAAGGTCATACACTTGGTAACCATACGACATACAACATCAAGGGTCAAAACTACACTTGGTAACACCATTGACACCATTTTTTTAATAGAATTTTAGGGGTTTTATACCCAGCATGGGCTACTGCGTACGCACCTTTAGCAAGGGGATGGGCACGTAGAACTGTTGACTGTCCGCTTTATTACTGGCGAAGAGGTAGATGTGGTCCCTATCCTCATCCAACACTGCGCTGGTAATCACGACGGTCTTGGCCCCTATACAATCCGATGGTGAAAAAGAAAGGTATCATTTATACGATCCGGTGGTGAGGAAGAAAGGTATCATTTATACAATCCGATGGTGAGAAAGTAATGTATCACTGAAGTATGAGCATCTGCATACACTCATCACTCGAGATAAGTCGCATACCTAGGCAACTACAAATATAGACTGGAGTTATGACAGGGGTAACCATACTTGTAGTGAACACATGAGTAGCCACCGGAGCAGGTATGCTCGGCAGAGCCGGCGTAACACGGAGCAATAAAAGTTCATGGTTACAATATAATGGTCATGGTTACATTAGGATGTTGTATAGACACGCCGAATACGTTTCACAGGGGTCTCAGAGATTTCGCAAACACACGTTGCGCCCCAGGAGCATGACCAAGTCACAACCAGTAGACCCACAGACGAGTTGAAAGCCAGATACAACAAATGTGGTCGTACCTGGCCGCAGCCATGCGTGTGCTGACACAGACATACCGGAGATTGAGTGTAACTCAGCCAGTGCCTTGACCGCATCCTCCTTTGTGTGTATGTCTATGCCTGTGAGCTGCCTGTATATGCATTCATCCATCGCAAGAGGGTATTAGTGCGGAGGTATCCTATTGCAGTTGTCTGTTAGCGGTATACAGCACAGTACCGTGTCCCATGTGCATGAACAAGTCACCTGGTATAAAACTCTGTATATGTTTGACTGTGTCTCTATCGACGACCGGAGCCTAGAACCCAAAGCATGTGCACAACACAGTACGAAGCCAATTTGTACAAAAGGTATCATATACCGGCCCTGTATCCACTACAGACACCTAAAACATTCACAAGAACCGGCGCAGTTTACAAAACAGCCCCGAGATGAGGGCGACTATCAGATCTGAGTCAACGGTGTGGCTGCAGGCGTACAGCGGCGCGCAAGTTACTTTCATGGCCACAGAGAATAGCATAGCAAGCCCCAAACTAACGATATGCGAGAGAGTGTGCATGCACCTGATAGCAATTTAAGGTTGTGTATACACCTGATTCTAATCTAAGGTTATGTGCGCACCTGATTCTAATCTAAGGTTATGTATGCACCTGATTCTAATCTAAGGTTGTGTATGCACCTGATTCTAATCTAAGGTTGTGTATGCACCTGATTCTAATCTAAGGTTATGTATGCACCTGATTCTAATCTAAGGTTATGTATGTACCTGATTCCAATCTAAGGTTGTGTTGCACCTGATTCCAATCTATCTCCAAAACGAACCTGAGCCTATCCCATACGAACACTAGCTACAGCCACAACAACAAAAAGGGGCCGTTTCGGTCCACTCACCCCGCTTCGTAGGCGTTGGGTGTGAGGATGTCTGCCACTGGGATGACTTCATTCTTGTAGATGGGCACCAACTCCTTCGGTACGTACAGTCCCACTCCATCATCACCCATAACTGTGTCACATACTGCCCGTAGTTGTGGTGAGGTGCGATGTGGTGTGATTGAGCCGAGTGCGCGTATTCTCATCGACGTTGTGGTGTGAATGTGGTACAGACGATTCACGCAGCTTGTGCTAAGTATGCGTGGTGTATAATGAATAGAGTACTTCCAGTGGTACTCAATTAACAAAGTGACTGTGCCTAATACAATGCACGCCACTTGTGCTAAGTATGGCTGGTGTATAATGAAAAGAACATTTCCAGTGGTACTCCATTAACAATATGACTGTGCCTAATACAATGCACGCCACTTGTGCTAAGCATGGGTGGTATATTATGAATAGAGTACTTCCACTGTTATTCCAAGTAACAGCTTGACTGTGTCACATAATCTTCGCGACAATGAGCAATGGAGTATCACAGGCCCAGTACTTGGAGTCACATTGGAGTTCTAGTGTGACTGGTCTGCATGCTATTCGTACTACGGCATGCTGGCTTATATCGAGCCATTGTGCACAACATCATTGATGCCTCGGCGCAGAATGTCACAGGGCACAAACCCTAAAACCCAATCGGCAAATGTCAAAAGGTCGTGGGTTGATATCAGCACGCACAATGCCCTCACACACTAAACGACCAAACATGCCTGTACACATGCGCGTGTAGTGCCAAAGCACATTGTCTGCAATAGAAAGCATGCAACCGTACAGTGCTGGCGTACGGAAACTGCGTACGTACCAAAGAGGAGATCCGGATTGATCTTCTTGAGAGCTTTGACGGTATCGACAACTTGTCGCAGAAATGATTCGCTGCCAATGTAACCTGTGAGTGTAATGTAAAAGGGACTATCGTGAAGACCCCTATCTATAAAGGCTGACATACAGGTGCATCCTGTGACACAAGCAAACGCACCATAGTATTCATATACAAGCAAATAATATATAAGCACCGAATAAAATACTGCCACGCAGGTGAAGTCAAATTCAAGAACACTGTACACTCGACTGCCGAAAATCGAGAATCCATACATATACTTAAAAAGGACAATAACATGAGAAAGCGGCATTTCAATTTTTAGTTTTGTCTATCATACATATATCAATTTTATGGATGAATCAAAGAATATATGCGTGTAATAACAAAAATACATATGTAAACATGACGTAAAATATTGTATATATATATATATGAAACCACATATATGCAACAAAAACAAAACACACACACATATATATATATATACATATATATA